GCCAAACCACAATTCAAAGCACCACCATGATATGGAGAGCTTGGAAACTATAGGGGCTGCACCGAAGGACGTGTCACACACATACTTGAGATTCTGAACCAACAAGTCCGACAGTTCCACATAAGCTGGAGGCACTTGCTCCCCACCCAAGCCATGGCAAAAGGAGCATAGCCCACTCAGTGACAGTCAGACTCCAGGGCTGTGGCCAAAATCAGCCATAGTGCTGAGCCAGCAATCGCAAACATAATGCATGCAATTGATTCTGCCTTCCTGTCCGCCAGATCCTTAAAGAGGAGGAGACTACTGGTATACGGGTTGCCTTATTCAGCCTTGAAATGGGGGGGGGGATGTGCGACAGGTGGGGAGGTCCACTATTTCAAAAAGATAACGCATGGAAAAACATTTTGGGACCACAAAAAGACACTTTAGTCATTCTGATTCCTGGTAGAAAATTGGTCATAAGTGGGATGGGGAAACACCTTAGCCCATCAGGTGTGCTTATTTATTCTAAAGGGGAAAGTGACGTTCTCAGCATCCCCAGAGGTATCTTTAAGAATTTTAAGACACTGGAGCTAAAAAAGTGCAGCCACCAGCACCTTCTCTTGCCACAGGGGACTCATCCTTGCTGTTGGAAAGATCAGGGATCAAGTCATATGCCCAGGGAAAATGGTTGTCGCTACAGGGATCATGGAACAAATGTCTCCAAAAGCAGCTGAGGGCACCTGGGCACATTGGAAAAGACATCACTGGCCTGCTCCTGTCCTGGACGGGGCTAACGCAGCCAACCCAGTGCGTAGGTAAAGGCCTGCATGCGCTTGTTGCCCAGAGTAAGGATGACTGCTGGATCTAGATTATCCAGCCTGTCGTCCAGCCATTAATTGCAAATGTTCACATAAAAATAAATATTTTTTTTTGTTACCGTAATAAGATCCCCAGGGCAGAACCTTGCCCTTAATGGTACATAAGGCCATATTTTGATCAACAAGCCACACAGAAGGACGCGAATGGGTATCCCAAGCCACACACCAGATTCTATAAGTCTTCCAGGTAAGGTTGCATGAAATATGAAATGTATGCTAGTAAATATTTATTGTCCAAATAAGAATGCAATGGTCTATTTAAAGGATATATTAAGGAAATTGATGAATTTCAAGAAAGGAAAACTGATTGTGGCCGGGGATTTCAATCTTTGCATGGATTTTCAGCTGGATATTTCGTCTCATGTACCTCTGCTAGAGGGAGGTAAATATTTAAAATCTCTGAAAATGAGGTTACATCAATGTTAATTGATAGATGCATGGAGGATCAAGCACCCAGGAGAGAGGGATTATAAATTCTATTCCTCTATATTGATATATTGAAATTCTATTCCTTATATTGATAGAACATAGATTACTTGAGTCACTGATTAAATCCAGTATTGAAATTACATCTCTTTCAGACCATGCACCAGTCACAATGAAGTTGAAAATGGAAGGAGATTTAAAAAATATAAGTACATGGAAGTTAACCCCCCTGGCGGTATTCCCGAGTGTAGCTCTGGGATCCCTTGAGCACTTACCTTGTCGTGCAGTCCCGCGATGTCCCCCCTGCAGTGTCCCCGGCCATGTCCTCCAGCCAATGCCGACATCCGTCTTCCGGGTTCCGTTCCCTGCGAGCGTTGGTACGTACAGGAGGCGGAACCGGCGGGAATTTCAAAAATGTAAACATTTGACATTTACTCAATACAATAAAATCTGATAGGATTACATTACTGTATCAAACCATTTCACATACCGTATTTTTCGCTCCATAAGACGCACCTGACCATAAGACGCACCTAGGTTTTAGAGGGGAAAAACAAGAAAAAAAAAATATTCGGAACCAATGGACTGCAGACACAGTACAGGGGATGACCAGAGACTGCAGACAGTGCAGGGAATGACCAGAGACTGCGGACACAGTACAGGAGATGACCAGAGACTGCGGACACAGTACAGGAGATGACCAGAGACTGCGGACACAGTACAGGAGATGACCAGAGACTGCAGACAGTGCAGGGAATGACCAGAGACTGCAGACAGTACAGGGAATGATCAGAGACTGCAGACAGTGCAGGGAATGACCAGAGACTGCAGACAGTGCAGGGAATGACCAGAGACTGCAGACAGTGCAGGGAATGACCAGAGACTGCAGATAGTGCAGGGAATGACCAGAGACTGCAGATAGTGCAGGGAATGACCAGAGACTGCTGACCTTTGGGGAGGGAGAGGGGAGCGGGTACCTGAATTTGACAGGTACCCGCTCCCACTTCCGCGGAGTTGTCCTTTCTTCCTTCTTCCCGGGCCGGCTTCTGTGACAGCCGGGTGCCCACTGCGCATGCGCGCGAGAAGCGCTGCGATTTGTGAATGGCCCGGCGCCTTCTGGGACCTGTCATGTGTCCCAGAAGACACCGGATCATTCACAAAGCGCAGCACATGCGCAGTGGGCACCCGGCTGTCACAGAAGCCAGCGCGAGAATACTGTGCAGCGCTGGAGCGAGGAACAGGTAAGGCCCTGCAGGAGAGAACAGCTGAGCACCGGGCCGGTTATCTGACATGGTGGCGGCAGAAATACCGGACCGGCCGCTTTATATTCGCTCCATAAGACGCACTGACATTTTCCCCCCTTTTTTGGGGGGAAAAAAATGCGTCTTATGGAGCGAAAAATACGGTACATTTTGTCCCTAGTGCTTTGTCCAGTGCCCTGCCTGCATTTTTACCGTTCTACCTGGAAACTGAGAAATGTCCATGGCATCCAAAAAGCATTCCTTTAGGTCAAAAGCGGTTTTAGACCAGCTAGAGAATAGCAATAGTAAATTAGAACCACTTGCAGAATTGAGCAATGATTCGTGGGGAAATTCGTCATCAGACACTGAAAACGATTTTGTGACTGAGCTCAGTGATGTGCAAACTTGGGGATCTATTTCAAATTTCAGTGTTTTTGGTTTGATTACATTATTGAATTAAATTTATTATTTTTTATGATTATTAGAATTTATGATTTTGTGTTTCAGATTTTATCATACCCGGGATGTTTACTAGACTGTTGTTCGGACAGATTTCAGTGAGTTGTTCCTAAGAATTACAGGCCTACAATAAAAAAACAACATATTTCCATTGAAAACAATGTACCGCTTTGAGCACAGAAATACTGACATAATCAGACCGCCAGAGAGGTTAAAGGAGACACTATTACAGGACCAGGAGATTAAAGGAAGAATAAAAAAAGAAATTGAACAGTATTTACAGCTAAATAAAACCGAAGATGTATCAGTGGCCACAATATGGGAAGCCCATAAAACATACATAAAGGGGTATTCCGATCTCGATAGGGCAGAAAAAAAAAAAAGAAATGGGCGGAAGATGGGAAGAAGATGAAAATACTAATAGAGGAATTATATAAACTAGAACTTAAAAAACAGAAATAGAAGTACAACATAAGTTAAAAGAGAAGAGTTGAAAGGCTTAATGGAGCAGGAGACAAAAAGGGTTTTCAATAGGGTGGCAAAGGAAAGGTATATGTGAGGTAATAGACCAGGAAAAAATTTGGAAAAAACTTTTAAAGGAAAAAGAAATCAGTAAATTATATAGAGAAGATTAGAAATAAAATAGGAGAGATAGTATACTCAACTAATATGATTGCTAGCATTTATTAAAAAATACTACAGCTCACTGTATCAGGTTAAATCATAAGGATTAAAAGGTTCTGATAGGAGAAAGAAACAAGAAAATTCAGACAGACATACTTAAAAACAGCTGGATTACCCAGATTAGAGGAGGAAAGACTATGCAATATTAGAAAATCCAGTTTCACAAGAGGAAATACTAGCAGCAATAAAAATTACAGTGGCAGGGAAAAGCCTGGGGCCGGATGAATATACAGTAAGATATAAGAAATGTAAAGAACAGAAAGATTTAAAGAATAGAATGTGTGTATATATGAATGCATTAGGAGTAGGTACGGAAATGAGGAAGGAGTCATTGCTAGCACATATTACGATAATACCCAAAGGTGGAAAAGATCTATCCCAATGTACCATCTACAGGCCAATATCATCACGAAGTATAGACACGAAATTATATGTGAAGGTCATCGCTAGTAGGATGAAAGATCTAATGCCAGAATGGGTACACCTTGATCAGGTGGGGTTTATACTGGGAAGAGAAGGAAGGGATAATTGTCTGAGATCATTACTCTACCGGCAAAAGAGTAGGAAGGAGAGGTTCCCAGTGTTATTTCTGTCAATAGATGCTGAAAAAGCGTTTGACAGGGTAGACTGGGGATTTATGACAAGTACTCTAGAAGCAATAGGATTAGGACCTAAATTGATGCGATGCATAAAAAATTTATATCACCATCCTTCCACAGCAGTGAAGATTAATGGTACATTATCGCAACCTTTTATAATGTAAAATGAAACAAGGCAGGGGTGCCCACTTTCACCCCTCCTGTTTATACTATTTTTAGAGCCCGTTAGCTACTATATGAAATAGTGTAAATATAAAAGGAATTCAAAATGGAGATGTGGAGCATAAGGTTGCAGCGTATGCAGATTATATTTTATGTGGCAAATCCTAGATTAACACTACCAAATTTAATGAGTATTAAAAAACCACGGAGAGCTGTCAAACTTTAAGATTAATCTTTTAAAGTCAAAGATATTGAATATTAATCTACCAGGCAGTATAAGGGAAATTCCCTTTTACTTGGCGGGATAATAATTTAAATTATTTAGGAGTCACTGAAGGGTATTGCCAGGGCTCAGGGTATGACCAGAGGTGTGTGGACTGACACAGGGAAACGCAGGCTTCAGGTATAGTGTAAATAAGACAATGTATTGAAGACTAAAAAACACAAAACGCAGTGCAAGGCAAACAGGTGAGGAAGCGGGCAACGGGCCATCTGGTGGACAGCGGGCACCGAGTCACCTGGTACGACAGCGGGCACCGAGTCACCTGGCACGACAGCGGGCACCGAGTCACCTGGCACGACAGCGGGCACCGAGTCACCAGGCTCGACAGCGGGCACCGAGTCACCAGGCTCGACAGCGGGCACCGAGTCACCAGGCTCGACAGCGGGCACCGAGTCACCAGGCTCGACAGCGGGCACCGAGTCACCAGGCTCGACAGCGGGCACCGAGTCACCTGGCACGACAGCGGGCACCGAGTCACCAGGCACGACAGCGGGCACCGAGTCAGCTGGCACGACAGCGGGCACCGAGTCACCTGGCACGACAGCGGGCACCGAGTCACCAAGCTCGACAGCGGGCACCGAGTCACCAAGCTCGACAGCGGGCACCGAGTCACCAAGCTCGACAGCGGGCACCGAGTCACCAAGCTCGACAGCGGGCACCGGGTCATCTGGCAGGACAGCGGGCACCGAGTCATCTGGCAGGACAGCGGGCACCGAGTCACCAAGCTCGACAGCGGGCACCGAGTCACCTGGTAGAACCGCGGGCACCGAGTCACCAGGCCGGACCACGGGCACCGAGGCGCCAGGCCGGACCACGGGCACCGAGGCGCCAGGCCGGACCACGGGCACCGAGGCGCCAGGCCGGACCACGGGCACCGAGGCGCCAGGCCGGACCACGGGCACCGAGGCGCCAGGCCGGACCACGGGCACCGAGGCGCCAGGCCGGACCACGGGCACCGAGGCGCCAGGCCAGACCGGGTCATCAGGCTGGATCGGGTCATCAGGCTGGATCACGAACACCGGGTCATCAGGCTGGGTAGCGGGCCATCAGGCTGGGTAGCGGGCCATCAGGCTGGGTAGCGGGCCATCAGGCTGGGTAGCGGGCCATCAGGCTGGGTAGCGGGCCATCAGGCTGGGTAGCGGGCACCAGGTCATCACGCTGGATAGGATCAGCAGGCTGGGTAGGATCAGCAGGCTGGATCGGGTCATCAGGCTGGGTAGCGTACACTGGGTCATCAGGCATCCGGCTGAACGGAAGGCGGGTTCTCAGACAGCAGGCTGACCGGTTTGGATACTGGTAGGATGGTAATGGTTGGAAAGAATTTTTGCTTCTTCTTGGGTTTAGTTACTGGGGCACTGCAAGTAAATGCAGGTCTGTAAATGGATGGAGTAGCTGGGGACAGAGAAGAGCTGGAGGGTGGAACAGAGGAGGGAATAGTTGTTACAGTAGCCTTTTTTACAGGGTTAAAGGCAAGATAGGTGCAGCGAGTGGGAACAGGGTACTGACATGTGGTAGATAGCAGGGTATATTGGGCTGTAACTGGGGGTACTGTCGGGAATGCAGGAATAGAGCTTTGAAACAGAGGAATGATTAGAAGCAAGACGGGTTTGTTGCAAGCTGACTGAGGCTGGGTGTAACAAGTCTGACCAGGACTGTAGTACTGGTTGAACAAAACTCAGCTTACACATAGCCTGTCTGACCAAAGACTGCACTGCGTTTATACACTCCACTAGCACATGTGGTGAACATGCTGAATAATGTTCCCAGAAGCAATCCGGATCATCCTCCAACAACCATACCAGTGATTCTATTTGATCCATACTGAATGGTGGAAGAAAGTCATCCCTGCTTTCAGGAGTACTAGATGAAGCCAACTCAACACAAGCCTGAATCAATGGTTGCACCTCAGAGAACTCTGTGCCCTGATCTACTAGGGAATGAGCGACCCGTATGCACTCTAGCAGCTGATCCCTGGTATACTCCTGCAGAGTCTGATAGGCATATTCTCTGTCATCTATGACTAGCAAATACAAGTATACCACCTCCTCAGGATGCATCCTTCCCAACAACAAGCCAAGATGGCTTCCCTGTGCAGCCACTTCTGGTCAGGAATGGCCTTGGTGTAATGTCAGGGCTCCGAGTATGACCAGAGGTGTGTGGACTGACACAGGGAAACGCAGGCTTCAGGTATAGTGTAAATAAGACAATTTATTGAAGACTAAACAACACAAACACAGTGCAAGGTAAACATAACACAGTGCAAACAACCCACACCGAAACAGATAACCATATATACAATCAAACGTAGTCGGGCAGCCCGGGTCGGTAGCAAACGAGCAAACAGGGTACCAGGAGCGAACGGATGAGTGGTCAGGAAAAGCCGAGGTCAGGACAGGCGGAGTTCGTTCAGAGTCAGGATCAAGGCAGAGTCAGGATCAGGCAGGGATCAGGCAGGAAGCAGACAGGATGCAGGTACAGGGACTCATGGAAAACATACACCAAGGCACTGACTGCATGTCTGGCCATTCCTTAAATACACCTCCTGCAATCAGCCTCAGGTGATGGCTGATTGCAGGAGTGAGCTTCTGGTTGCTGAGAGCACCCGCTGGCCAGCCCTGGTACTGCAGCCCACACGGCAGATGAGTCCTACCACTAATGGTGAGTCCATTCCTGACAGGTATATACGCAAATTATATCCCGTTAATAAATGAGATAAAAGAGGAACCAAGGAAAATTTCAAAAGGATCAATTTCTTGGATAGGGCAAATAAACATGGTAAAGATGGTGATGTGAGGGAAAATGGAACAGCCATTTTATATATCAAACATTTTAGTTTTTATTAAGTGGATATATATTGAATGTATATTTTTTTATTAGAGGTCTTATTGTGTAACAGCTGTATTTCTTGTGTTAGAATGCTATTCAAACCTCTAGCTGGGAAGATTGCTGACTAAAAGAACTAGTGGGTAGTGGGGATGTAACATGCTTGTGTGAATATCCATTTACATTTCAAAGAACTCCACCCGAAACCAGAATGTAATTTCAAAGCAGTTAGCTACATTCCCACCCATTTTAGAACATATAAAATTGTATTAGCTTTCTGAAGAAGTTTAGAGCATTACTTTGAATCCAACACCATGTATTGTTCTGCTCTTCCTGCACGGAGGTCCAGCTACATGCTTGTATAACAAACATCTACTTTTCAATCAGACTTCAGCAGTCAAAATGTTACTAAAACCCATGAGTTTTGGGTTACCCCGTCAGTGATATTACCGAAAATTTTATATAAATTCCAAATGTTGCTGATATATTTGCACAGGGGTATTTGCGGGCATTGAAAAGACTCATGATGAGATATATATGGGCAAATAAAAAACCAGCAGTAAAACAAAATTCTAAGTAAAGAAAAAAAAGGGGGGGGGCGTTAAAATATGTTGGATTTTAAAAAATATTTTGCAGTAGCTTTGTCACGGATAATGGATTGGGCATATAATGAACATGGGAAAAGCTGGGTGAAGATTGAAAAAAACACTAAGTGAAGTACAATTCGATAAAATTATTTCGACTCCACAACAACACTGTATGTTTGCAGAAAACACTAACACTTTGACACGGAATGTTTTTAGGATATGAGACTTAATTTCTAAACAAGTGGGGTGGGAATATAATTCACCATTGATACCATTAGTAGGAACAAATGATTTCACACCGGGGAAGAGTATTATTTCAGGGATGTGGATAAAAGATAAGAATGCACATTTAAAAGATATTATGAAAATGGGAGAAACATGCGCCTTACAAGAGCTGGAACACAAAATAAGATATGTTTTCTTTGATGGATGAATGGCGGTATTATCAACTAAAACATTTTGTTACACCACTTCCGCAGCCTATAAGAGGGGTGGAAAATTTGCACCCATTAGATTACTTGATGAGTTTAGAAGGGTTACAAAAACATTGCACTTTCTGTATGTATACAGGCGAAACTCGAAAAATTTGAATATCGTGCAAAAGTTCATTTATTTCAGTAATGCAAGATAGTTCAAGCCGTGATTTGTCATAATTGTGATGATTATGGCTTACAGCTCATGAAAACACCAAATCCACAATCCACAAAATTAGACTATTACATGCAATCAATAAAACAAGGATTGTACATAGAACAATATTGGACCTCTGAAAAGTATAAGCATGCACATGTACTCAATTACTTGGTTTGGGCCCCTTTTGCAGCAATTACTGCCTCAATGCAGCGTGGCATGGAAGCTATTGGCCTGTGGCACTGCTGAGGTGTTATGGAAGACCAGGATGCTTCAATAGCGGCCTTCAGCTCTTCTGCATTGTTCGGTCTCATGTCTCATCTTTCTCTTGGCAATGCCCATAGATTCTCTAGGGGGTTTAGGTCAGGCGGGTTTGCTGGCCAATCAAGCACAGTAATCCCGCAGTCATTGAACCAGGTTTTGGTGCTTTTGGCAGTTTGGGCAGGTGCCAAGTCCTGCTGGAAAATGAAGTCAGCATCCCCATAAAGCTCATTTGTGGAAAAAAGCATGAAGTGTTCCAAAATATCCTGGTAGACGGCTGCGTTGACTCTGGACTTAATGAAGCACAGTGGACCAACACCAGCAGATGACATGGCTCCCCAAATTAACACAGACTATGGAAACTTCACACTGGACTTTAGGCATCTTGCAGTGTGTGCCTCTCCATTCTTCCTCCATACTCTGGGTCCTTGGTTTCCAAATGAAATGCAAAAGTTGCTCTCATCCAAAAAGAGGACTTTGGACCACTGAGCAACAGACCAGGTCTGTTTTTCTTTCACCCATGTAAGATGCTTTTGACGTTGTTTATTGTTCAGGAGCGGCTTGACAAGAGGAATACGACATTTGAAGCCCATGTCCAGGATCCGTCTGTGCGTGGTGGATGCACTGACTCCAGCCTCAGTCCACTCCTTGTGAAAGTCTCCAACACTTTTGAATGGCCTTTTCCTGACAATCATCTCCAGGCTGCGGTCATCCCTGCTGCTTGTGCACCTTTTTCTTCCACACTTTTCCCTTCCACATAACTTTCTATTAATGTGCTTTGATACAGCACATTGGGAACATCAAACATCTTTTGCAATTACCTTTTGAGGCTTTCCCTCCTTATGGAGGGTGTCAATGATGGTTTTCTGCACAACTGTCAGGTCAGCAGTCTTTCCCGTGATTGTGATTCCTATTGAACCAGACTGGGAGACCATTTAAAAGCTCAGGAACCCTTTACAGGTGTTATGGCTTAATTAGCCGATTAGAGTGGGACACTTTGAGCCTAGAATATTGCACCTTTTCACAATATTCTAATTTTCTGAGATTGTGGATTTGGGGTTTTCATGAGCTGTAAGCCATAATCATAACAATGACAAATCACGGCTTGAACTATCTTGCTTTGCATGTAATGAGTCTCATTTATTAGTTTCACCTTTTAAGTTGCATTACTGAAATAACTTAACTTTTGCACGATATTCTAATTTTTTGAGTTTCACTGTAAGACACTTACCATAATATCTGAACTGACTCCATCAGGGTATAGCTGTGCTCAAACGTTTGCATACTCTGGCAGAAATTGTGAAATTTTGGCAATGATATTGAAAATATGACTTATCATGCCAAAAAATGCTCTTTTATTGAAGGATGATGATCATATGACGCCATTTATTAT